ACACACACACACACACACACACACACACACACACACACACACACACGCGAACATAAGTCTGCTCGAGTACACACAGAAACACACAAGCAGAGAAGCAGAGGGTTTCGGGCTGAGCACCAGGAGATGATGAGGAGATGTTGGACAAAGGGTACCCCACGTTCACTCTTTCTTACCCACTCTTGAATGAGCAGAAGCCCTCCCTCGCCCTCATGAGACAATGCGGTGAAATAACGTCTCACCCACGTGGAAAGTCCCTCCCGTCCACGCAGGCTCCCATGACATAAAAAATAAGTATGACAGAAAGGATTTCAACTGTTTAGGATTTTGTCTCTTTTCTGAATGAAGTCATTTATTTGCTAATGCCCCCCTTATCCAAGAAGAATGAACATGAATGTTAATCCAATCATGTTCATTTTCATGGGGGGTGTTTCCTCAGAAAGTAGGATTTAAAAAAAATCTTTTCTTCCAAATGTTTGGCTGTTTGCCAGTGTTTGACATCCTCAGACACTGAAGACTAGAGATCCAAAGACCCCCCCCTTTCCTCCACGCACTCGTGTGCCGGTTCCTACTGCTCGGCTCGTCTGAGGAGCYGGTTGTTTAGCGGTGAAATGATGTGTGCGATGATGAAATGAGGGGGCTGCAGATAAGGTGAGATTACACTCTGAGAGGGGGGAAGAGGGCAGACAGCGAGAAAAGTAGGAGCGACAGACAGAGGTGCCCCAACCCGCTGATGTCTTGTTAAAACGTGAGGGATCAGGAAGAACAACAAATGCATCGTGCGTTGCTAAATCCTGCCTAAATCCGCTGGCATGGGCAGATCTAACAGATAGCCCCTCTGCTGGGCTCACTGTCTGCTACCACAACACACACATACACACATGCACGCTCGCGTACACACCCGTCCATAAACACACCCGTGGTCAGTCCGGCTGTCTGGGTTAATGCTTGGCTAACTGGGACAGCAGAGCTGAACCATGTTGACATTTTAAGCCCCAAACAAGTCCAGAACAATGATTCAGCCCATCTGTACCCCACCCCCCAACAGGAGTGCAACCTCAGCTTATTTTGCCGACACACACACGCACACGCACATGCACTGCCTAAACACTCTGCTGTGTACCTCTGCCCCTACTTTTCACACACACACACTCTGTTCCCCGTCTTTTAGTGAATAAAAGAGAACAAAAGCTGATATGATTGAGTTGGCAGCAGAGAGCGAGGAGGAGAGGTACTGTAAGGTCACGAGGATTATCTTAATCCTCCAGAAGACGATCATGACAGAGGGAAGATGCATCGAGAAAGCTTTAACCTCTCAGCCGACCGCTGCACACCGCTCTGCGAAGCTGCTGCGGCGTCGGCAATGACGTCGAGGCACAAGTCTCGTCTCCAAGAAAATCTGTTGCGCTCTTTCCACGTAACGCGACACGCGTCCACTCGACCGTTTTGTGTTGCGACATCTTTCTTCCTCTTTCCCGCAAACCTTCGGCATGCTTCGATTCAGGTCCAAGCATGAGGTAAACTCGTTGTGAAGCATGTCAAGCTGCTGCCTGCAGTGTTTCTTCGAGAGACAAAATGAACAAAGCTCGGCCTGAAAGCCCATGTCAGATAAATCTAAAYGCCTAATTCCCTCAGCTAAAGGTTTTAAGACTATATAAACTGTGTCTAAAATATGTGGCTGTTTGTTCCAGACTTATCTCGTTTATCTGTGAGTAACAGCTTGTCTTCCTCTCTCCCCCTTCCCGCCTCTTCCAGATTCCTTCCTGGAAAAGGTCTCATCATCTACCCAGACATCGGGGACAAGCTGGATATCATCTGCCCCAAAGCGGACCAAGGCAGAGATTATGAGTATTTCAAGCTGTATTTGGTGAAGAGGGAGCAGGCGGAGAGTTGCAGCACGGTGCTCGACCCCAACGTGCTGGTGAACTGTAACAARCCCGAGAAGGACATCAAATTCACCATCAAATTCCAGGAGTTCAGCCCCAACTACATGGGCTTGGAGTTCAAGAGGAACGTCAACTACTACATCACCTGTAAGTTTGTCAGGAAAAGATGATTTACTGTTGAAATTTAGCTTTTTCACCTTCATTCAACCGGAGGAGCTTGACTGAGCATGCAGAGTAATAATCTCTGCTTCACACTCAGTTACACACAGTCACACTCGGGAGTTTCCTATTAAAATTGCTTTTTGATAGCCACGGCGGCGGTCCCATAACAGCCAACTGGAGGTTCTGTGCTTTTCTGAAGACGACGTGGTCGAAGGTGATTTGAGGCGTTAAATATTGCACGTGTTTTACGGGATTCAAATCGGCAAGTGCGAGTCCGTTCGTAACAGTTTCTGTGAATTTTGAAGCATTTTGTGGTTTACCTCAAAGAGATTTGTTTAAAAAAATAAACTGATTTAGGGAATTTGAAAATAAACCTCGTGTTGTTTAAAAATTCCAACATTTCACAATGTTGAATTTAGTCATGAATAAATATATAGTCAGAATTGTAAGTTAAGCCCCTGTAGAATAATTTTAAATGTAGACCTAAAATAACGTGATTCCTTGGGATCAGGAAGCATTCACCACGTGATTTTACTGTTGACATACAGTGTATTGTTTGGGCAGGAGTAAACTGCAGCTACTTTCAGTAAAACCATCAAACTTGCATAAGAGTTTTCTGAATCCATTTTTTAAATTAATACTGACCTGAAAAATTTATACCTGTAATATCTGAGTATGTTTCAAGAATTTTACAAACAAACAAAATTTTTTCAAACTTTCAGCCTAATTGATTTCTTGATCATTTTCCAACATTAAACAAGTAACATAATTTATTTATTTTTCACTCTTTTTTTGRCTAATTTCAAACATCATTCATTTCCACATAATTAGAACATAGTTCTTTGTTTTTCTTTTTTTAGCTTTAAACATTTTTTTTCAGTAATTTAACACCAAAATGCAATTAAAATGAAACGTATTAATTTTACTGTAATAAAACAGGTCAGTCAGTCTCGGTGAGAGTGTTTCCACAGCAACAGCAGAAAGTTTCAAAGAGCTGGTGGAAGAGAGCTCCCCMTCCTTTCGGTTTGGTCTTCTGGGTTTTAGGGTTGTTTGGGACGATTATCAGAGGTTCTAAAGAAGTGCATCTCAATCCTCCTGCAGGTCAACTTTCAGCAGGTGGAACACGAGGAGCTTGGGAAGGTGAAGACACATGAGGATTGGTCACTTAATGGTTTTATGTTCATCTGAAATTTATTTAAGATCCTCAGTAAAAACTACAGGTTAATCTGGACACAGAGGAGCAGGAAAAACAGAAACGTCAGCAGCTTGGTTCTATGGGAGGTTATCCAGGTTGAGGTCAACAGGAAACTCTGTAAGCTCAGGTCCTGCAGGGGGTGTCAGAGGAGTTGGTGGTGTCGAAGGAGGCCCTGATTCTGGGCTGATTGTTGGCTGCTGTTCTGGTGAGACAGGATGAAAATCCTCATGCTGGCAGGGGGGTCAGCAGTGGGGGACATACTTTCATGCACTTCGGGGTCCCCCTGGTCAACAACCCGCAAATGTGTCCCGCTGAGACACAAACAATATCACTCKGCAGCTCCGGTTCAAAGTTCTTGATGTGGTCCCAAAGGATATCATTTGGGTCCAGCTGTCCGATCTCTGTGATGGGAGACGGGACCAGATCCTCCCTGATGCAGCGGGAGAAGATGGCCTGACGTTTCACAGCGAGAGCCCCAAAAGATTTGCCCGAAATGGCTTTTGTAACCCCAGTGGAGAGTTTGCTGAGCAGCAAGTTTAGAAGAGKGTGAGGGGGGGAAGCACCCAAAGGCCCTGCAGGACTCAAGGGACTACCTCCATCACCACATTTTATAAACTAAGCAGTCTGGAGTTTAATGTCTTCTCATTTTTCTTGGCATTTGAGGGTTTCTGGAGATGACAGTCATCTAAATGAATTAAAACCTCTCAGTGTGTCCAACAGATTTATTTAAGCTGTAGTTGAACTATTGAAATAAAACTCCCAGAAGACAAGGAGATACAAGGTCTGACATCTTTGCTTCACACTCAACATCCCTGCATTTGTTGCTCACATTGACTTAGGGACGCACTGACATGAAAATTTCAGTCGATTTCGATATCCGATATTAATATTGCTGTCATGGTCGATAACCGATATTTACCAATTTTACACAAACACACAAATTATTTTTATACATACCATAAAAAATGACCAGACTGCTGACATGGCTCTCTATTTTAGTTATTCCTGGCTGCATCAATATCACTATCATGATCAAACAGATACCACTCGATCAACCATCTCCCCTCCCGAAGCACAAACAGCAACAAGCTGGAAATCAGTACTGGGCGTTCATATCGGCCCAGTTTCACTAATCAGACTGATACMGATATGCTAATAAATGACCAACATACACCAGTACCGATGTTTATGACCTCTACACTGACTGCTCACACCTGAAACACAGAGTCAGAGTCAACATAAAGTCAGAACAATAAGACCACCATTTATTCATTTTGACTTCATACGTCTAAAGTTTTACCAGCTCAAGTTCCCAAGTCCCAAAATCTTGAAAAAAGAAACTAAACAGAGACTTTTGCTTTACTTTTACTCAGAATGTTAGAGTCTGACACAGGTTGAGTTTCAGCTGTAGCTGGTCTTTTCTGAGTCAGTGACTCTTCTCTCATAGAACTGTGCTGTGAGCCAAACCTTTCTTTAAAATTATAGCATTTTGTTTGATCTTATTTTCCCGAGAGCGCTGCTAGGCTGGGCCTCGGCGACATCTGAAGTGAACCTCTTAAACCGGTAAAAACTATTGAGATGATCCTAAAATTAGAAGGACAGTGTTTGAAGTAACATGCAGCCAGCTGTTTCATGCTAGAGACAGCGACAGAGCCTGTGAAGAGTCAATAGGAGCTCTGCAGGCCAGAAAAAAGGACCCACCGCCAATAACCCACTAATGAAACATRATGCATAATTCTATTACATCAAAGAGCACACAAATAAGCTAGTGTTTTAGACATATTAATAACACTCAGTTTTAGTACTGTAATTGACGTTTTAAAAGCTTTTACTCTTAAGAGCGCTGAAAGAAGAAAAACACAAATAAATCCCACATACATTATTTTGTTCTTCTCGTGTGTTTGCACTTCAGTCAGTGTTTGTGAGCTCTACTTTGCAGGCAGAATGCAGGGAAGCGTGAAGCTTGCATCTTATCAAGCGTCAGTTTTCATGGTGGCTCTTGTGGCAACATGTTATGCGGGTTTTTAGGAATATTTCCTTCTGAGCTTCATTACGCCCACACGTGTTTTAGAAAACACCTTGGACATTTTTGCCACTTTCTAAAAGATTTCCATGACTTCTTTGATTATTTTTATTATTTTATTTTGCATGGCTGCTCTGCATATTGTCTCTTGATTACATCATAAATATTTTAACTTAACTTTATTCCCGACATCTGCGTGGGCACGCATTCCTGACAGCGGTTAGGTTCAACTTTAAAGCAAAAGTGTCAGCCTTACTTTAGGTTGATTTTATTTTTATGCAAAGCTCTTTCTCTCATGTCTCCGCTGCAGAACAGCCGTCTTACTGATGTTTGTTTTATGCAAACGAGAGGAACACTTTGCACTCTGTTCTTCACGTCTCAGACTGTGAACTCATAACAGGAGCCAGTTGTAAATCCTTCACAGGGGAGGCTTGTCTCACAGGATCCAGCTGATGGTGGATCGTTATTAGGCTCATATACTGTAACGTTTGCATGTCAGCAGTAATCGGATGCAGCATTCGTTATGGTATTATGTTAATGTTGTTGTTCTTTGCAACAGGAAGAGCATGTTTTATCTRTTCCACTGTAGCCATAACACACTTCATCTATCATTTAGATAATGGCCGTGTGCGGTTCCTGTGTGTGTCTTTTGTGCGTGTTTCGAGGGAGCGAGCACCTGCACTTTGTACGTTTTTCCAGCTTTACTTACAACATTCACAGGGTGTGTGTGTGTGTGTGTGTGTGTGTGTGTGTGTGTGTGNATGTATCGTATCGCCAAATTCTTGCCAATACACAGCCCTATTGGTTAGTACCACCAGCCCATATTTGAGATCAACTTGGGATAGCCCTATTCATATTTTACACATAAAAGACGGTAAAAATTCAATTTAATTTCTAACCATTTTTCCTGGTAAATACGTTGTAGCTCTTTTAAAAGTCAGCATAATGTTCTGGTCAACTTCAGTAGAAGTCTGCTAGTGTTTTACTGATAAGAGTTCCTGGCCTTGTTAGCACAAGGGCCGAGTGTCAAGAGTAACAATAATAGTCTGACCATAGTCTGACTTTTAATCTGCATTCTATGACTAAGTATGGTTAGTTACTTTAAAACAGCAAGAGTCAGGCTAACTAATCTGACTGACTGGCTCGTCTAACTCAAGTTCAGACAAAGTTTAAGATTATTATTTCAGCAATGCTCACCTGAAAGGATTAAAGTTAGGAAGCATAATTCAGGTCAGTAACATTTGCACTCTTTTAGCGTGGGCCCTTTTCTTTTTCACTGTTATTTTTTCCTCAACAACCCACACACTATACACCCCGCCTTCTGAATGCCCCTCGAAGGAATTCTACACCACTGGGCTTCAGGCATCCAGCACTTTCTTATTCAAGTCGGTCCTCTTCTCTTGCTCTCCTTCGCCTTGGGGGTGAGTCGAAGGTCAAGGTTGAACTCTTTGCCCCGACTGCAGCCGATCAAAAGATCCTCCCCGTGCCCTACGTTTTGCAAGGTCGCTCCATCACATGTGCACATGCGCGCTCCCACGCAGGTGCTCACTGCAATAAGAATGCAAAGGAGTTCATGAGCTCGGATCAAATGAAGTCTTGAGCGTAGCCAAGTGGGCACGAACACTGGAAGAAAGACACGCAGCACGATTTAATGCTTCATAATAACAGTAATATGATTTAAAAAAAAGTGTGAAATGTCATCTTTTAAAGATAACATAAAATTACCATAATCAAATCACAGCCACTCAGCTGTCAGGTCGAAGGCAT